ACAAGGTATGCATATAATCTACTTCGTATTCGAATACAAGCATATGCATAAAGTACTACAATCAAGAAAAGAAGGTCCAACCACCTTCGCGCGAAAACGACAAAAAATAGGGGTCCCGACAGACCCAAAACAGCAGGGCAGGGGCGAACCACACACATATATAGCGTGCGAAACCACCAAATAGCCCCCCCCCCTCCCCTCTCACCACGTCGTCGAGGGCCCCCCACTGTCGCCACCCCTCCTGGAAGGACGGTAGGCACGCGAAGAGCGTCTTGCCCTTCATGTCCGAGTACCGCGACGCCGCCTCCACGAGGTTGTAAATCCCTTCGAACTCCGTCTCCTTCGGAACGTCAGCCACCTGCCACCAGACCAGACCACAGACCAAAAGCCACATGGTAAGAAGGAGCATCACACCCATCGCATCAAAAAAAGGAAAGAAACACGTCGGACCTACCTGTGGTTATCTCTCCAACGAACGGATCGTCTGTCCGCGTTTCTTACGTAGATTATCTAATAAATGTCGGACCACACGTACGTATGGCAGTAGAGGATGCCTGACAAGTGCCGGCATGTGTCCAAAACGTTCACCGGAACCATGCCGGGCGCCATTCGGTACAATACAGGCTAGGAGTGGACGCTCGTGCCCAGAGATTCGATCGGTACCATACCGGGCCCCGTCGCTAAACAGGGACCCCTATTAATGTACTAGATGTGCGGTAGGTAGGTGCGGGGCGTGTCTTTCGTTCATTGAAAAAACTCGAGCTGTGAGACAGACTTGAAGCATTCCTCGGCGGTGCTTTCCAAAAATTAACAACAAACCAACGGAGAAGAGAGAGGAAGAAAAATATCCGCCAACGCACATGGTTCGAAACGCCTCGCACAATCCGAAACTCGGACAGCCAACCGAAAAACATCGAGGACAGTCAGCCACGCGCGGCCCTCAACGCCAACCGGTCAGTCTGCAGTCAACAGATCTCGGAAAGCCCAGCCCAAGCGAAATTCCGGGAAGGGCGGAGGGGGGAAGGTGAGTTTGCGCCGACTTTTGTAGAGCTTGACCGAACAGTTTACCCCCCGACCTTAACCTCATCATCGTCGTTACTAATTCCGACAAAAATCTCAAACAATTCTGTGGTGCAACGGCAATTCGTGGAACAACGCCTAGCTTGTAGTGACACCGAAACATACGTGCGATCACATCGATCTATCATATCACGATAATGAGGACGAAAGGAGAAGGACCATGGCTTTGGACCGTACCTAGACAAAGCTACGACTTTACTCTATGGGCACCTCGCAGACACGGAAAACAAAACAATCCCCCCATAACAGACACGGACAACGAAAAGAGAAGGGCAAACGTTTTTCGTTAGAAGAAAATAACGTCTGCCCCAAACAGAGATGAACAACCTTCTTTTTCGCAGAACACAGGTTCTACCACACGCGCAATAATAATACCAAGATCGCGAAATCCGTAGGCCTGTGCTCCGTAGGCTATTGCAGCGTGTTTTTGTGTTGACGATTCTGGATATTTGACTGAAAAATAGAGGGCAAGAAAAGTTAGTGTATTTATATCGCGAAAAAATCGCCTACTACGGAGTGTTGTTGTCGTCTTGGCTTCACCAAAAAACAGGGCCTGGAAATTAGTTCACCTCCGGCTCGTAGAAGGTGATGCCCTGGAAGTATTTGGCTCTGTCCGGCCCATCGCCCTCCTTGGGCCTTACGATCGCTGCCGTGCACGATACCACTGCCGCCACGTCCTGCACCCGACGCCAAGTTACGGATGCACATTGTCATGTGATGGATGCACAATGTCATGTGACTGATGCATATTGTCATGTGATGGACGCACGATGTCATGTGACGGATGCGTCATGCGGACCATGTGTGCGTACTGTCATGGGACAGATGCATACTTCGTACCAAGTGCGGGAACGTGTATGGGAAAACATGGCAAGCATGTGTGTGGCCGGTTGGGATAAAATGGGTGGAGTGTGCATGCGTCATGAGTGCAACCGGTTCATGACTGATGGCAAGGTAGCTAGCCGGTTGAGATGAAATGGGTGGAGGTATGTACGTTTGTGCCCCCACATGTGTATCATCGGTTAACAACAAGGTGGTTGGTGCTTGTGTGTGTGACAGGTTGACAACACATCGGGCTCGCCCTACTGCTGTTGTTTTGTCGAGAGCAAAGTTGATACCACATACACGACGACTATGCATCGGTTGGGCAGTTACAGACTTCAAGTCCCGCAGTAGGAGGTCAGCAAGCTCTTGGGTCCGGGGTGTAAGTCACGCCAGCAATTTCATACCGCGATGACCAGCACCAGCAAGCAACAGATCTGGCCAATCCACCATGTTGACAAATACCACCACCACCACCAACCACCACCAACACCAACAACACCAACAACAGCAGCAGCAGCAGCAACAGACTAACCTTGAAGAGGGAGGGCGTGAGAGACGACTTGTCTGCGATGTCCGCCACAACTACGTCCAGCCCAGACCCTCCCTTAGTCTCCTTGCCCCCAGTGAGCATCGCCAAGGCCTTGGACTTGTTTCGAGCCTGAGTATTACCCAAGATTGTCATCATCGCCATTGTCGAAATTATCATCATAACCATTACCGACAACAACAGCAGCAGCAGCAGCAGCAGCAGACAATCGTGTACACCGCAGCGCCGAACAAGAGCAGTCGCATCGCATGTCCGGCAAATACGTTATCAACGGCGAGGCGGGAGAAATCATGTTTTGCATGCCTCAGCGGTTAGACCGTTGAACACGCGTCCTCGAGAGGACCAGCCGCTGTTCCTGTTCCCACGCGACCGATCACCGATGGCCAATCGTTCCTTCCTACTGCGCCAAAGGTGGCTCAAATATCGTTTCCTTAGTCTTTCTATCCTATCGATATGTATATAACGTACCGTATTTTCAGCCCACTTCCTATGCACCAGAATAGCTACCGTCTTTCTCGTTGCCATCCCATGCCTCAGAACAAATACCTTTTCCTTCTGCTTCTCCCAGCTCGGCCGTACAATTTTCTCTCCTTTTCGTAAAACAGACAGCCTTCAACTGATACATGAACCCGGTCCTCGCACTTCCGCAGATGTTACCACCAGGGGGTGTGTGATATTGCGTGGAATACGGTGCGCAAGGGATGACCCTGAGAGGGTATATATCGTCACGCAGTCCTACCCAGCTGCCGCGGGCATTCATTCATGATAGAAACCCCGCGTTTGTCCAAATTTACTCGCATGGATGGGGCACACAGCCGCAGAGAGAGAGCAACAGACTCACCATCGCCCGAACCGATACCCCCTTTCGCCTCAGCTCCTCCACAACTCGCCGCCCTACCCCCCCGGTAGCCCCTGACCAGCAGAAACCATCAAGAGGCGTGGAAGTCGCCCACAGGTCAGTATATATTGTACTAATAAAAAAAAAAAAGATTCCCACGGAAAACAGCAAGCTCAAGTTGTCAGGTACTTGGTTGTTTTGGGAAAAGCAAACGGATATGAAATGCGACGGGGATGTTCGGTTACTAACCCTTGTGTAGAGAAGGCGGCGGTTTCAAGAATGGCGAGAACGCCTCCTTCTCACAGAATCAAAGAAAACTCTCAAGCCAGAGAAATTTG